GCACGACGCAACAGTTATTCTCAATAAATTACTCTCTCTCTCTCTCTCTCTCTCTCTCTCTCTCATGCGGGTGCACATCCATAATACTTGTGAATCAGCTTGATACCTTAACATGATGAGGCATAATTTTGATGTCAAATGGAGTGTGAAGCCATGCTTCAGGAGGGTAGAGCAAGAAGTTATCCGGCTTGCTAGTGTATACATCTGCATATTGATGGATGTTGTATGCAAAAGCCGACTCTTGGCCAGTATCTGTGAGGAACGTCGCACCAAAGAAAGGATTGAACATCGCCTTCATTGCATATCGAGCCTTTCGCCTTTCCTCATTTAGCTCATCCAGAAGTGTATCATAGGCCTCACACTTTGCATCATTTGCAAGAGAAGAATGAAGTTTTCCAAGTAGTTCTTGTATTATGTGAAACTTGGCCTGGATAGAAGAAATAAAATGTAAGAGAACAAAATAACAAACTTTCATGGTAACATAACTTACCAAAAAAGAAAAAAGGCAAGGACTATTGGAGAAAATGAGACCAATCTTAAAGAGCTCTCCAAGTTTCAGGAACTACTTGTAAGAAAGTTCAGATTCTCCCTATCAATGAACTATGAAGCAACAGATTGACTGCAAATTGACCCATTAGTATACACAATGAGAGCAGAATGGCAGTGCCAGCTCAGAACAAGGTCTACAGAGACAACCTGCACATCGACCCATTAGTATACACAATGAGATGGACGCTGTGGTTTCATTCGTATAAATTGATCATGATCTAGGCCATAATGTCACATAAAAGGGTGAACTGGAATATAACCTAATAAAACCAAATCTACACTTGTATATCAAGCAAGATGACCTCACATCCAATTTATGAACTGAAAATCAAAGATGGAGTTAACATAGTTAATGCTTATATTGTACCTGTTGAAATCGGTAACTATCTTCGTTCTGAATCTGTATTTCATTCTGCAGGAGGAATCGAGAACCATCATTTGAGCCGAAGAAGAAATAAACTAGAGCCACATTGACAAAAGATTCAAAAATAACTATCATAAAAGAAAAACAGAACATATTCGGAGTTCAATAGATGACAAGGAGAATGTCATTTTTGTTACATATAGAATTACTTATCTATCCAAGATAAAAAAAAAAAATCGGTACTGTTATATCTAGAGGTAAACCATGACCACCAAAGTCAAATTGCTGAAAAGCACTACGCGAAGGAAAAAGCTTATATAAGGGTGCAGTAACTTACACTATTTATTTTATGGCATTGTATACAATGAGACCATTTACTTTTGGTACAAGGAGGTCACAATTACCTGTAACCATCTGATGTGAAATCTAATAGCTTGGGTGTGTCATAAAGTTCGAAAAAAATTCTTTTGAATATTAAGCTTGGTCAATAGAATAAATGCAGTCACCCATTTCACATCCAACCGTTAAGATTAATTGTGACCACCTTGTACAAAAGGTAAAAAGTATCACTGTATACTTTTCCTAATTTTATTTGGATAGCATAGATTTGATACTATCGTAAAAGACGTGTCCACGTTTTTACATTGTCTTAAAAGATGTGTCAAATCTACATCATCCAACTAAAATGGACGGCGTAGAATGCCGCAACCTTACTTTTACAAAAAAAGTTGCAACCTTATATAAACTGCACCCATATGTAAAACCTATACCAAATAAAATGTTTACTTTTAAAAACGTATCACCAGTTTATATGCCAGTATTGCAACCAAACCGAAGACAAATTGTGTCTTAAGGATGCTCTTTAATCACATGAATAATAGTATGCTTCTGCAGTGAAATAAATGTTGTGCAGAAAACAGGATGGTCTCATGTAGCGTACTATTGCCAAAACCACCAAAATATATGAAAATTATATTACCTAGCAATGTTTAGGAAATAGCCTTGACCAAGACACTCGGCCCTTGGCAGAGGTGAGTAACTCAGCTGAATCTAAATAGACTCTACCAAGTCACATGCAAAAATATATATATTAAAAATCCAAAAAAAAGGTCAAAAAATTGTAAAAAATATTTTAAAATAGGAAAAGTTAAAAAAAGGTAATAGAGTGCATTAGAATACTAAATAAGATGAAAAAAAATCTATAAGTGATGGATTATTGAAAAACTTTATTTATACCTTGAATATTTCAGAAAAATTAAAAAAATAAAACTATGAAAAATCCCAAATCATCTTGAAAACTATCAAATCATCTTAAAACATATTAATAATTAACATATTGGTGTTTTCCAACTTTTTTATTTTTTTAAGAAATTTTTAATAGAATTTGAAATGAATACCTTTGGGAGAACTTAGGTGTGGCTCCAATAGGTGATAAGATGAGAGAAAATAGATTTAGGTGGGCTGGCCATGTGCAGCGCAGACCCTGTACAGCACCTGTTAGGAGGTGCAAGTTAATTCAAGTGGAAGGCTCAAAAGTGGCAAGAGATAAACCTAAAAGGACATGGTTCAAAGTAGAGAAAAAAGATATGGGGACTTATAGTCTCACTGAGGGTATGACCTTGATAGAGCAACATGGCTGATCAGGATTCGTGTAGCCGAGCTCAAATAGTTAGGAAGAGAGCCCAAATAGTTAGGAAGAGGCTTTTGATGATGATGATGATGAAAAGGCACCTTTATAATTTTTTATAGGTTTTGAGCTTGGGCAAGTTGGACACCCAACTCGACCCAAACTCGCCTCAATGCTAGGGTGAGGCCAAGTTAAACGCCCGAGTAGACTTGGGCAAGTCCCATAACATTGTTGCTTGAACACTGACACAGAGTATCACGTGCAGTACATGTTTAATTGATGATATTGATCAGAGCACAACAAGTAGCCACGAGTATCTTCTTTGAAAGCGACAGATTCCTCCTAACTTTAGCCCATATTTGGATGATGAAAATCCTAAGAGGGCTTCCAAGAAGAACAAGAAGAGCAAGAAATAGTTTGAATGTTTCTTTTAGTTTTTTAGGATATTTTATTTTATTTTCATTGTTGGACCAATTAGGGACTTTTTAGATATTTTCATTAAAGTTAGGGAGTTTAGTTTCAAGTTAGACTTAAGTTAGGAACTTTAGGTTAAAAGCTAATTGTACGGACAAATATTGTCCAAAACAATAAACTGGAGAGGTATTCACGTATTTTTCTTTTAATAAAATAAAAACTGTCTTGGAAAAATAAGCATAAGGCTTGAGCCCTAGGTGGGAGAAAGCCTTAGGGTTTCTAGGAACTTTAGGTTAAAAGCTAATTGTACGGACAAATATTGTCCAAAACAATAAACTGGAGAGGTATTCACGTATTCCTCTTTTAATAAAATAAAAACTGTCTTGGAAAAATAAGCATAAGGCTTGAGCCCTAGGTGGGAGAAAGCCTTAGGGTTTCTCTAAAAGTTGTGTCAAGGTGCTTTCTTGCTGTTTTTTTATGTTTCTACAAGTTATCTACATCACTAGTTCAGACTAGAAAGCCATTATGGCAAGATATGTCCATACTTTTTTATTTTGATACTAAAATAATAATTTTTTAATTTACATAATAAATAAATCGTATTGATTGTACTTAAATGTTGTTGGTGAGTGTTAGACAGAATGACAATATATTTTATGTTCAAAAACCTAGCCTTGTGCTCCAATTACTTTTTTGGTGTCGTGTATGGAAGTGTCAACGCATGCTGATGTGTCAAAATGTGGTGCAGCAGAAAAACTAGGGTGTTTGCAACATAGATGAAAACAAGTAAAAAGCATACTTCAAGCTCATGTATTATAGCTGCTGTACGCCAACCAGCTTTTGATGGCCATCTCAAGTCACTAAACAAATGATCACCAAAATATATCACCTAAAAAAACAAACAGAAAACAATAAAAGTCACACTCAGAAGATGCATCTTGCCATCTAGTGTACAAATACATCAACAAGTACGAAATTACTACTGACAAATAAACATGGAAATAGAATCAGGGAGAATAGTAGGTTCAACTGCAATAGAATATTCTAGTGAAAACATTGTTTTGGATGTGTGTATAGAGAGAGAGAGAATGAGTGATCACGTAGAAAACAAATATGTACTAATAAAGTTGGTAACCTTGCTCCCATTAGATTTAGTGAAATGGAAATCGATTATCTTGCTCATCTCATCATTATTATCATCATCCAAACCTTATCCTAATTATTTTGGGTAGGCAACATGAAGCTTGTTCTTCTGTTCTTCTCTATCAAGGGTCATACCTTTAGTAAGGTCAATAGTCACCATATCTTTTCTCACTGCTTCTATCCATGTCCTTTTGGGTCTTCCCTTTGCCCTTTTAGAGCCTCTACTTGAACCAAATCGCACCTCCTAACCAGTGTTGTATTAGAACTACGCTGCACATAGTCAGCCCACCTAAGTGTGCTTTCCTTCATCTTATCGCGTATTGAAGCCACAAGTAAGTTCCCTCGTATGTATTTACTATGAATTCTATCATTTCTTGCCTTGCCACTCATCCATCTCAACATCTTCATCTCAGCGAGAATATCTTGCTCATCTTCAAAACTCAAATGCAGCAAATGTCCATACTATTCATTTGAGGGAGATTCATTTTCAACCTGATCATTCTTGGTTACTATGAGACTTCACAAGTTTATACACATAATGTTGCATGCAATCATGATATCCTAATGTACACCAATTGCCCCATCATACATAGCATAAAATCATAATATCCTTTCATATGACTCACAGTTCATGAATTGTCTTAACCATTATCTGATATCAAAATTACATTGCATACAAAAAATTGAGCAATTAGTAGAGTATTCATTTGATAATAATGTGTCATTATTCATGACTGTCTTTGTCAACAAATGTTAATGCCACCTTTAACCCCTTTGAGAGCCCCTAATAATAAAGATCCTACAGCTCTTGCCCCAGCTTTCTTGAGAGTATTGTTGTTGTACTAGCCAGTTGGATCGTATTCCCTAACCCAAGATGTAACTTGGCATTTATAGAGAGTTATCAAGATAACAATTCCTCGCCATATTGGCTATTACAATTATATCAACTCGATGAAAAATAATGAAAAGTAAAGTATCACCATGCAAATAGAAAAACATGAATAACAACATAAGAAACTGTGAATAAACTCTAATGAAGGAACAAAATTTAGGCATATCCATTTAACAAAATGAGAATAAACAAGGATATATGTGCATATTACCTCTGGGCCATTCCACTTAGTAATCTGCAAGAAATATTTAAGGCATCCATGATAGTAAATTTGGTCAGGATGAAAAGAATCAACCTTTGAAAATGCTAATTTGTCCTTCTCGACGTCATAACAACTGCAATAAAATGTTAACCAAGTAAGTACTCAACTAAATTGAATATAATTTTTCGCGAGATTATAAGCCCCAAAATT